AAAACTAGAAAAGGGGTTAGAGACATAATCTCTATATCGTTTTCTTCATCCTCTATGATCAACTCTTTTCATTTTATAAACATCGAACAACCATCATTCTCTCAAAGACTAAGGTCTCTGTCCAAATTAAAAGAGATTAATCGGTAACGGCCGACGAGAAACACTTGTTCTCATTGACAATAAATAAATTGATAATTCAAATTCCATTTGTGAGTAATGCATTTTAAGATCACCTGTTGTATTCTGTCCCTAAGTGCGTTGAATCTCTTGGTACTGAAAGCTCTGAAGGTTCCTGCTATTGTTGTTGAATCTGGGATTACATTGACTGCAGTTCCACCATGAATCATGGATACCGAGACCACCTGCAGCATGCAATAGACTGACTCTTGATAACCGATGCATTTTTATTACATTAAAACCCAATGACTGAAAGTACGTAGAAAGTAGAAACAAGTAAACCTGAGAATCTAAAGGATCAATTTCCCTTGAAACAATGTTTTGTAAACTTATTATCGCCGTCGAAGGTGCCAAAATGGGATCAATGGCGTGTTGGGGAATCGCAGCATGACCTCCTTTACCACTAATCGTGGCTTTAAAGCTCCCACAGCCTGCTAGGAATTCTTTAGCACGTGTGGCGACCACACCAGTGGAATATGCATGCACCAAATGCAACCCGAAAATGGCTTCCACGTTTTCAAGAACACCCTCTTTTATCTTGTCTTTGGCTCCTTCACCTCGTTCTTCTGCTGGTTGAAATATAAGGACTACAGTTCCCTATATCAATAAAAACTCAAACTTTAGTTCATATTGGTGTTGGGGGCATAATTTATGCATGCTTCTTGACCTGCAACCGGCATCGGAGTTTTTGCAGTATCTTGGCTGCTCCGAGCAGCATGGCAACATGGGCATCGTGTGCACAAGCATGCATTTTGTTATCTACTTTGCTTTTATGCTCCCATTCCACCAATTCCTGCATGTTACTCGAATTAATTTCTATTTGCTATTTGATCTATTAAAGCTGAAAATCACAGGGTAGAAATCTGTTTCTATTTCTTCTTTTTTTTCCTCTCTATATGGGAAACTGAATCTTAAAAGAAAGAATAAAGGAACCAGACCTGAATAGGTAAAGCATCCATATCAGCTCTGAGAGCAGCCAAGGGTGGAGAACCGGAGCCAATTTCAGCGACGACGCCGGTTTTAGCCACCGGCCAGCGATAAGAAACGCCGAGCGATCGAGTTCGTGTCTAATGAGCTTACTGGTCTCAACTTCTTCATTAGCAAGTTCAGGGTGTTCGTGTATTCTCCTCCTTATTCGCTTCATCCAATCCACCGTTTCTCGATCATTTGCGAGGCTGAGTATCCGGTCTTTGATGGATTCGTTCGGACAAGGTGTTGCTGTTGTCGGGGTGAAAGAACGGAACCAACAATCATCTTCGTTGTAAGAGAAGCAGAGGGAAGGTAGGGTTACGGAGATTAAGAAGAATTGTTGAAGAGTTCCACTCAAGGCCTTCATGGCCATGGCCGAGTCTAAATTAGCTTGGATTCGAGCCAGTGGGTGGTTAACATTTGTAGTAACCTTTTGGGTAAATTAACTTATTTAGTCATCCATCTATTATTTAATTTCTGTTTTGATCACATAACTTTTGTTCTTTTCAAATTATACTTAATATTATGTTTTGATTCTATTTTGATCACCTGTCATTGAAAAATTAAATGTGATAACGATGTGATAATTTTTTAATTATTTTTTAATACTGACATATCATTCTCAACATTAATGTTAACATTTTAAAGGCGGATGATCAAAACATATAAAAAACTTAACACTGAGTATAATTTTGAGAAAATTAATAGTTGGGTGACTAAAACATAAATAAAGTAATAAGTGGATGACTAAAGAGGTAATTTATCTTAAACTTTTTTCAGGCAAGCAGATCATTAGATTTTTCCTTGTAAATCTACATTTTATTTATTATAATAAATTTTATTATTTATTGGTTAAAATATGTCCCAAATCCTTTTTACTCTTTGTATATTGGAAACTTAGTCCCTCCACTTTTATTTTAAAAAATTCAGTCCATGTACTTTTTGGATTTAATAAAAAAAATCATCGATCTTTTCGATTAAATTTGAATTTTAAAATTTTAAAAATATAGGATTATACTTTTAAAAGTAAATATATGAGGACCAAAATCTAAATGAACAAAGAGTATAGTGATTTGGAATATGTTTTAACCTTATTTATTTGATGAAGTGGGCAAATATCACATATTGATCAATATCTTTTAGGGTAAACTATCATTTAGTAGGTAAACTATCATTTAATACCTAAACTATCAGTTTAAGTTTGTTTTAGTACCTAAATTTTTAATTTTTTTAAAATCATATATAACGTTTAGTTTTTGTTTCATTTTAGTACTCTGTCATTGAAAACTTAACAGACTAACTCGCCAGTCGCCATGTCTACAGTAGTAGATCGTCGCATCCGCCGACCGATGAAGCCCAATCAATGATGAACCCTTCTATTTATTCACCCTCCGATCTCCGTTGTTAACCGTCCGGCGGGCCTGAAACTGGACCATGTTGATCATCTCGTCATCCTCTCGTGGTCCACCATTCAGATTGGTCATCCGTCCACTGAAACTATGTGCCGTCAGCATGTCGGTTAAGTTTTTAACGACTAGTATTAAAATGAAATAAAACTAAGTGTGGTTTTGAAAAAAATAAAAGTTTAAGCACTAAAACAAGACTAAAATTGATAGTTTATATACTTAAATACGAGATTTACCCTTGTCTTTTATATCCATTAGTATATTTCTCATTTTTCACGTTTTCTATTCACACAAATTCCTCGATTGGTGGTAGATTCCCCATCTCCTCTCCTGTTACCAATGAAATTCACATTGGTGGTTTTGGAAGAGAAATAATTAAAATTTAAACAAAGTACATAAAATATTTTAAAATTCAACTTAAACTACTAATTTAGCATAGTTTTTTTTATAAACATTTATGTTTAGTACAGTTAATTAGACAACTAACACTAGCAGTGTTCATATATAAATTCAATTTATTTTATTTTTTATTAATTATATTTTATCTCATGATATCTGTAATTCGGTCTATATTTATGAAAACGCCTTCCCTTATTCTTGTGCTGAAACATAACTCACCTTTAGGGATGGGCACGAGGCGGGTAGATTTTAGCTACTCAACTTAGACATGAAAATATATATTTTTTATATATAATTTCGTTACGTCCTGCCTTGATGATTTAATTTTTTCATGTCTCGATTCTGTCTCGATTTTTAGATTGTAATTTCAACATGATCCAACTCAAATATATTAATATTTTAAAATAATTGAAACAATATATTTATAATTATTTGTTATATTTTAAACGGATAAAATAATGTATTTTATATTTTTTAATAATTAAAGAATATATTTTAAAATATAAAAATAAAAATTATTAAAATCTTAAATATATTAAGAGTTAACTACATGATTGATCATTTATATTTGTGTCCTGCTCACTTTTTCTCACTGTTTTTTAAAAAACACATTATATGACCATTTTTGTTTTTAGTTAATTAAGTTATGGCCACGACAGGTTAACTATCGTTGGATTATTGACGATTTGCTGAGTTGGCACTATAATTAAATAAAATAGAAAATATATCTTTTCCATGAGGATTGGGTTAACTACATGATTGATCACTTATGTTTGTGTTTTGTCCACTTTTCCTCATTGATTCAAAAAACATAGTATATGTGGTCACTTTCATTTTTATTTTATTAAGATGTAATCACCTCAGATTAACTGTCGTTAGATCATTAACAATTTACTAAGCTAACATGGTAATTAAATAAAATATATCGTTTTCACATGGATTATACGTGGGTTAAGTTTAAAAAAATTGATATAAACGTGAAATAAAAAAGTGTCATCAACTCCCTATTTTCTTCAAAACTTTAAAACGAAGTACCTTTCGAAATGATTTTCTTTAAATCCCTAAAACAATACCAATTTGATATATCTAGTAGCTTTTAAAATCCTAAGAAGAAGAAGAGTAAAATATGCCGACGAAGAAAAATATTATAGAATCAAGCAGCGACGAATACAACTCGCTCTCCCATTTTTCATCGTAGAGGACGAGTTGAAATCGTCACTACTTGATTCCGTAATGTTCTTGTTCATTAGTGTCTTTTTCTTCTTTTTCTTCTTAGAATTTTAAGGCTGCTAGAGTTATCAAAAGGGTGTTTTAGGGATTTGAATACAAATATTTCAAAGGGGACTTTGAATTAGAAATTTAAAGAAAACGGATAATTGATGACACCTTTTTATTTCACGCTTATATCAATATTTATAGACTTAATCCATGTATAATCCACGTGGAAATGATGTAATTTCTATTTTATTTAATTACCTTGTTAACTCGGCAAATCTTTTTGGTTTAACATCAATTACCCCGTAGTGACCATATATTAATTAAATAGAAACGAAAATGACCATATATATTATGATTTTTTAGATCAGTGAGAAAAAGTAGAAAAAACACAAAAATAAGTGATCAATCATGTAGTTAACTCAATCAACGTGAAAATGATGTATTTCTATTTTAGTTATCTACTATGCCAACTCTACAAATCGTTAATGGTCTAACGAGAGTTAACTCGTGGTGACCACATCTTAATTAAATAAAAATGAAACTGACCATATATTATGTTTTTTGAAAGCAATCAGGAAAAGTGGACAAAACACAAATATAAGTGATCAATCATATAATTAACTCATATATTAAATATATAAAAGAATAAACATAAAGAGACTTTCTTTTCTCTAACCCAAAAATATAACGCCTGCAAAAAGAGTGTACCAGGAGCGATTTCACAAGTACAGGCACCATCCATAATGGAGTTTTATCAAGCATGACTGTCCAGGGTTCCAGGCTACCTATTAATTTCACGTCAATTTACAAGTATTCTAGTTGCGATTACCGAAGGCAAGAAAGAAGAAGGATATGACCGGGGAAAAAACAGAAAAGAAAGAATCATACAATAACAATGAGTTGTTATCGTCCTTGATATGCTGGAGAAATGGGTAAACCATCTTCTTCACTTCACGATCAACATATTATGGTGCACTGCCTTACTTGGCTGCATGTATGTTGCGCCACAGAAAAAAATTAGGTGCACGAGGAGAGTTTTCGGACCCCGAAAGTTGCTGACTTCTTTCTAAGCTGATACAATGATCGACCAGATTTAAAGCGATCGTTAATCGTTGTTTGTTCATTCGAATTGGAGGGAAGCTTCCTAGAAAACAAAATACCATACTTCACCTGTTCAGCATGGCTTTCTCTTGTCTACTTTTAAGTGTATATCATACCATTTCTTCTTCTTCGTTCTGTCCCTCGTAGAATGTTTCCCGTCTCTTCACCGTCTTCTTTGGCCTCTTTGGAGGCAGCCTTACTCTTGTTCCTACTCGAACTTCGCTTAATTAGCGGAATATTTGTGTACAAGGCATGAATCTCATTCCTTTGTTTGAGAAGCTCGTAGATCTGCAAAACCGTCATATAGGATGTGATCGAGAAATTTATCCATTTAGTCGTAAGTCAGCTTAGGCACATAATTCCCACATGTTAATCTAACCTCTTGCATTTCCTTTGTGTATCTGCTTGTCATCTCAGTGAACTGTGCCTGGACCTGCCAACACATTACATGAATATCGACGATAAAAACATGGTTGAATACAGACATGAACATTTTATGTGCAAAAGTAAATACTTCTCTGTATTCGGTTTCAAACTTCGACAGCTCCGCTCGTTTGGACAGAATCTCCGCTTCCACAGCTCTAAGATTCTCCTTCTCCTCTATGAAAGGTGCAGCACAAATAGCTTATATTGTGTAACTTCACTTTTGAAAAAGTTGTCACCTAGAAGTTATGTGCCAGAATTATTAAAATGGTAGTGAGCTTCATAGATGCATATAAACCAACAGGCACAAGGCCTCAGCGAGGCGTATAAATTAAAGAGCACTAACCGTAAACAGCAAATACATGTGTGCCTGGTTTTAGTTCAGTTATTTCACATGGTTGAAATCCATCCAGCTTTTTGAAGAAAGCCGCATCCGAATCCTTCGCGGCAGATACCTATAGCGAAGCATATCCAAAACCAGAAGAACAGCGACAAAATCTAACTTCAGTTTCATTGTGAAGCACAACCATGACATATCCGTTAATGATAACTCACCGAGTTTACTGTTTGATCCAAGCAATAGACTGGGAAGCTAAGGAAATACATTCACCGAAAAGAAACAAATGTAGCTTTAACTCGTTATGCAACATAGACAACGGATAATTTGCGAATTCTAAAAAGAGAAAAGCGGAAGGGAGTTCGTTACCTTCAGTGCAAGGCTTAATCCACCAGTCTCTTCTAGATCAAAATACAATAACTGCAATAAATATAAACAGTAAAACTACACGACATAAGAACTTTCAATACGCAGATGATATTGAATCCATAAGTTCTAAGTGATAGTCTATCCACCTTGAACTTGCTTTTGTCAGATGATCGTACTCGGAAAACGAGCCCATCTCTTGCTTCTTCTTCTGCTATTGCGACAGAGTAGAAGTGAGCACATTGTTTTTCAACCAGTTAAATGCATACGAATTCGGTGATTGCATAAATAATCAATAAAAGTACTAGAAAAGAACATGAATATAATTATCTCACCTTCCTAGAAATAGGTTGCCCCAGCAGAAGTGGGCGAATGGTGACTGCACCATTAAGTGCCTCCTCTAAAACGGTTGCAGATACAGTCGTCTTAATCGGCACACCAAGTTTACTATTCATACATATCAGTTACAATAATACAGTCGTCTCAATCCTCAACATGAACAACGGAACACGTTAACTAGTATCATAAGGACAGGGAGTTACCCAAAAAGTGCAGCAAACATGGTGTTCACTGCCCCCAAACTTGAAAGATCTAGCTCCAATTCTTGGTTATCAGCTTCAACAGCCTATTCAAAGGGGAAAAAACAGCATGATCAATTCTTGAAAGATCTAATTTGGCCAATTAGATCCATGTATAGGTTACCTCAAAACCAGCGGCGTCATACTGGTGTCTTTTATCTGGATCGGACAAGATATTATAAGAAAACGTGACCTCCTTGAACATATCAGCTGCAACAGGATCATTTCCATTCTTATCAGGATGGTACCTGAAACAGCATAAGAGTAGCATTTATAATAGCTAATATGACTGAGCAAAACTCGATTCAATTCGAAAAACCAACTCGACTCAACTAAAAAAAAATTCCAATAAAGTCTGAATGATAAAATATGACTCGTCAATTCAACTAACTCAATGTTCTTTAACTCGATTCAACATGACTAACTAGAAAACTCACCCCTAATTCCATGTCATTTTAACACTATAGAATATCTATGTAACTTCAATTCTTACTTTTACCAACAAATTTACTATTTTTGCAATTTAGTCCCTCAACTTTGCATTTTATTCAATTTATTTTTTACTACAGTTTATTTTACAAATTCTTTTGGCTCATCAATTCCTTAATTTCTTTACACTTTGATCATTACTTTTTCCCAAAGGCATTTGGTTTATTAAATAACATTGTTGTGAAGAACTATATATGTATATATTATATGATTAGATTAAGTTGTTAAATTGGACCAATCTACACCATAACATTATAAATATTTACAATTAAATTTGAACATAAACTCAAAATATTGACTCGAAAAAAATTATATTACAGTTCGAATCCTAAAATAGGAATAATCAACTTAACTAACATGAAATGTTTTTACTAGACTCGACTCGATCGAATCCTCGCCCCTATTAGCTAAGCCACCATAACAGCTAGTTGGATTGATATAATCAATCCTCAATACTTATTCTCCCACTATACTGCATGTACGCATGTGAGTTTACCTTTGTCGACACCATTTTTCGCTTGGGCGGAGAAAGACCGATACCGACTCGGGGATTTTCTCTTTGAAAAGTGTTTCGAAATGTGAGGAGTCGCCACCAATCATTTAAGGTGCGATTGTGACACCATAAAAATCGGGTGATTTTAATAAAACATTTCATTTTTATCAAAACACCAAGTTTAAGGTTTGCGAAAATCTAGAAATCAGGTTCAGGAGTCAGTTACGCGTAAGGAATGATTAGCACCCCCACAAGCGCCCAAAAATTGGTACCTAGTTTATTACCCTATATTTAAAATCAAAAATTTTGAGTTTGATCTTTGCTTAATTTGAAAGTCATTACAGATGCAAAAAGTTGAAAAGGGTATTCATTTATTGAGACCAATAACATTAGCTCCCAAGCGTAAATGCGGGAGATCAACTATTGTGTCTAATAACCAAATATTGCCTCATTTTTAGAAAATCTTGATGCAGTTTTGAAAATGATGTCGACTTATTTCGGGAATTACCAGTAGTCACCCCGGAGCATGATTGCGAGAGATATACTATTAATTCCTTAATAAGTGAACAATACCTTAGAGTTATAAATAAAATGCGATTGGAATCATGTGAAATAAAACATTTATAGTAAACATAACTAATAATATTTATTTACAAATAGCTACATAATATGTAAAATATATACATATAAAAAAAGAACTAAAATAAAATAAATGAACATTGCAAATCAAAATAAAATACCTAAAACTAAACATTTAAGGGACTAAAACAGAACAATAAAAATTTACAAATCAAAATATAAATAACCAAATAAATATATTTGAAAATTTAAGGGCCAATTTGATATTAATAGAAACTTGAAGGACCAAAATAGCAAAGATAGAAATATAAAGATCCAAAATAGAAAAAATAGAAATTTGAAGGACCTAATAAACCATTATGAACAAATCAAAGCCCTAATCTACATTTTGAACAAATACAGATACTGGAAATGAAAATAACCCAAAAATAATATTTAGGACTAAAATGTAGTAAATCGGAAACATGAAAGTCAAATCATAATTAAACCAAATGTAAAACAGTGACTAAAATGAAAGATACAAACAACATAGGGTCAAATTCGAACATCAACCAAAATACACAACACACTAAATCAACGACTAAAATGAAATAATTACAAATATGGTGACCAAAGTCAAATATTAACAATAATAACATAACATACAATAATAGGGCTAAAACATAAGTACTGAAAAATAAGTGCTCAAAATGAAATAAAATAGAACTTCATTAATTGACTAATAATAAGACATTACAAATGTGGGGACCTAAACTGCAATATACCCCCCGATGATTAAAAACAAACAGGTGAAATTACAAAACAAGGGGACCAATCACGTCATTTCCCCCAAAACCTCAAAAACACGGAGAAAGGGAGAACATGAAACTACGTCGTTTCCAGTGTGTAATAAAAACCTCAAACCCAAGCTAAACTTCCCCATTCCCCTTATTTTCCCCCTGAAAACCCGAAATAGAGAGATAGAAACCAAAACTCTCTCATTTCTCTATTTGTTCCTCCATTGTGAGGAGACTTTTGAGAGCTCACGGCCACCGCAGCCGACAGCGATGGCATGAGAAACCACCCTGAAAATACCCTTTAGCATTCCCTCTCTCTTATCCTTCGAAACAGAGTCGTCCCTCCTAATACCTAAAAAACGAGACCCGCACTCAAAAACCTTAGATCTAAGAAAGGGGAAGGTTTTACTTTCGATTGCGGGCTCTTCCAGCTTCGGTGATACCACAACGACAACACCTAAGGTAAGTCTCGGTTTTTATTTCTTTTTCTCTTTTGTTTTTCCTTTTTTTCTTTCAATTTTCCCCTTGAAAACTCATTGTTTTTTCTTTATTGGTTTCCCCGAATGGTTCTCCCTCTTCTTCTCCTCTGATTTTTCTCTCTCAAACCCCCCTTTCAATCCTTTTTTTCCTTTTCCCCCCTTTTTATCCCCTTGCATGCGTTGATATCATCCCAATAAATCCCTTCGGGATCTTGGTTGTGATTTGCTTCTTATTTTTTATGGGATTTCTTTGGCTTGATTAGTGATTTATGCCACTGTTTGATGGATTGGTTGACTTGGGTGTAGGTGACGACGTCAGAAACGGTCAGAGGTGGCAGCAACAGCAGGTGGCGACGGCAGAAGCTACTTAGGATTATGATGAAATCCTAGGTGAGTTAGGTTGGGTCGGGTCGAGTCGAGTCCTGGGTTATTGGGCCTGTTCGGGTCAGCTTGTATCTGGGTTGCTGAGCTGCTGGACCGGGTCGGATCCGGACTCCGGGTTTCAGGTTACAGTTGGGTTTAATTTGGGTGTTTGTTGTTGGGTTGAGTACTTCCTGTAGGATAGCTGGTGGACTCCAAATTTGACCTACACAAAATGTAAAATAATTAATTAATAATAATAATATTTTTATAGACCCGGACAAAAATAAGTGTTTACAACCTTGTATTAACCATAATTATGACTAAGCTTAAATCCTGATGTATTCTAAAGTAATCCCAAAAACATGAAGAAAAATACCAAGAAATGGAGCATTTCAAAACCTTTCACCTTGTATTAACCATAATTATGACTAAGGTTAAATCAGTCAATCCTGATGTATTCTAAAATCATCCCCAAAACCTTGAACAAAAATACCAAGAAATGGAGCATTTCAAAACCTTTCAACTTATAAAAAAAATAAACATACTTTAGAGCCATTTTCCGGTATGCGCTCTTAATTTCCTGATCCGTTGAGTTTCTGGAGACACCAAGCACCTCATACGGATCTCGACGAAGATGCTTGGCCAGGCCGTCGTTCTTCTCCGTCTTGGATCGATGTGGCGGCATTTTCTACAAGAACCACCAAACAAAAAAGAAAAAATAAACTAAGTTTTCCTTCTTCTTTTACGTTTTTTTCCAGTGAGAAGAAGAAACCCAGAATTCAAAACCTTCAACTAAATTCCAAAAACGGAATGAAAATCAATTCCTTATCTTTCCAATTCATCAAGGTAGGAAACTTTTTTGGGTTTAAAAAGCAGAAAAAGGAGAAATTTTTCAGGTGCATTGAAAGGAGTAGAGAGGAAAATAGAACAACTCCATGGGACCTAAAAGCTGGAGCTTTGGAGAGGAGCAGCGAGAGAAGAAAGAGACAAGCACAGAGATCGGAAAAATTGGAGGGGGAAATGAATTAGGTAGTACTGCTAATATTTTAATTTTGTTTTCATCTTATGTTTTTGAAAATGGTAAATTACATTTCAAAGTCACTAAATTATTAGTAAAATTATATATGAACTATTAAATTTCCAAAAATTTATGAATATGCTATTTTATTTATCGAATGTAATAAATAGATCATTCTATCGTTAAGTGTATAATTAGGAATGATAATTTGATCTAAAATCAATGAGTTCTGACTTGATAAGGTTGATGTTTGTATCAGGTTTGAATCAAGTCAGATAAAGTTTTGTAAAGGTTGAGAATGATCGGATCAGGTTCAAGTTGAGAGTGGAAATTTTTTAGTTCGATCTCATCCGAGATAATAATATAATTTTTTATGTCTATGAATAATTCTAGTAATAACTCTCACTATATTTTTTATTAGTTTCCTATTTTTCGAATAAAAATAAGATTTTTTTATATATTTTTGTCGGTTAGATCAAGTTAAATGTAGATTTTTACTTCACATTTTGAACCAATTCTCATATCAAATAGGATATCCATAAATTCGAGTTGAGTTCAAGTGAAGGGATATGCTTTTCAAGTCAGGTTAAGTTAACCAAAAATCCAATCTAACCTGACTCATTATCGTCCATATTTATAATAGACTTTAACTTTTTTAGTTAAAATTGAATGGCATGATTTTTGTTATTAATAAATAGAGCGATTTGATTATTATAATCGATGAATAAAATAGTTTGATTATAACTAAAAATCTAAAATATATTACACACTTAATGATAGAATGATATGTTTGTAACTATCGGTAAATAAAATGACTCATTTGTAACTTTCTAAAATTTAGTAATATATTTACAGTTATATTAATAATTTAATGATTTAGAATATAATTCACCCTAAAATATTCTATGGGTGTCCGGTTGCATTCTATCTGAATAGCGCCATCGCCAGTTGCCACTGTGCAGTTGGCACGTGTCAATTTATCGAGGCGCACGTGAATGCTCACTCCTATAAAAAGTTGATACAAATTAATATAAATATTATTATCAAAATGTTTTGAATAAAAACTTAATAATATTATGTCATACGATTAGACACGAACTTTAAAATTTTATAAAATAAAGTATTAACGTACCAAAATTATTTTGATGCATGTACTTCATGATCTTATAGGAAACAAATCTCATCCCCATTTTACACGAAGCACGTGTATATTATATATTTAATTTTTTTATTATTGGTAATTTACACATATTTTATTGATTACTTGAGCCCAGAATCTCTAAAAAAATAATGATATATTTTACTATTAAAATCACTCAATCAATTAAACAGGTTTCATCTTCAATCGAATTGTGATACTCAAACATTGTAAATATTTTAAAAGTTGTATCTTATTTCGTAAACCCTAGAGAATTAGATGACTAATTTTGTAATTAAATCAATTTTAAGTAGATTTCAATTCTTTCTCGGCCCTTTTTCACGAACAGCGCCCCCAACTTCTTTTCATCTTTTTGTTTTCTTTCACTGCGCAGCTACTCCCATCTCACTCTGTCCCCGCTGCCGACCATCCATTTTGTTGTCATTCTCGTCGATTCCGTGCAAAGGTGAGTCACCGTTGAACGTCCGACCTCGACCCTCCGCTCTTCTTTCTTAGTTCGTTGTGCGTCGCTGTTCAAGACTTTAAACCGAGACCTCTCTCGCCACCGATCGTGGTGTCGCGGTTTTCCGTGGTCGTCGAGTGGTTGGACCGCTCGTGAAGAAGGTTGCACCGGTCTGGTAACGGTGTGTCTTACCTTCTTCGGCCATGGGTGGCCACTATCGAGTACCTTTCGATCGTTTTGGGCTTCCTTTGGGCAGCCAAGGTTGTCGTTCCACCAAGCCATGGCTGCTGCCATGGTGCTTGTCACCGACAGTCGTGGGGCAGCAGTAGTTGCTGCCATATTTGTTCGGCAGTCCCTTTAGTTCGAATCAAATCCCACTGCCCGGTTCCTAATTCTAACCGATAATTATTTTTAATCGTCGTTAAATTGCTTCATTTATCTGAAATTCGTTGAATCGAGATATTAAATTGGAAGTCGTAATTTTTGCAGGTGATATCGAATCGGAATCAAATCTATCGCCTCCTCCACCGTTACCGGTTAACTTTGAACCAAATCGGGTTACAAGAATCGACAATGAGTATCAGTTAATACCTTAGATTTAGGTTCAGATTTGTTATTAAAATTAGAATAGTAATTATTAGTCAAATTTTATGTAGGAGCCGATTCAGTTTGATCCATGGTTGGGCCGATCATGGGAAGCGCAATTGTCGTGGTTAACTATTTGTCGAGGTGTGTTTATTTTCGGTGCTGCATTATTTTATTTGGTTGTTTATTTGTTTGTTAGTTGAAATTGAATGAAAACATGTTCGTCTGTGGGACTGTTTGTGCTATAAATGTCATGGGTTATTTGTTAAATTATTGGAATCAGAATATTGCTGTGTATTTATAATATGAGATTGTGTTGTGATATCGGAATCGGAATATAAGTGTTTCGGAATATTTGTTATTAAATATTGCTATTCGGATCATATCAGAATTCAAATATATGATATTCGAGTATGTGTTATTTAGATATATCTTATTTGAATCTGATCAAATATCGGATATGTGTCATTTGTATGTCATATTGAGACGAATTTTGATAAGGGAAGTTAAGTGCATTCACTCGACGGGTGTGAATATCACTTTTGGATTGTGGCCTCTTCCTTTGTGGCGGACTTCGCTCTCGGTTATGGAGTGATTGTAGTTTGAGTGGTTCTGGGGAACCCACTCAATGATGGAGTGTTTGAAGTACAGTGAGTGCATGAGTATTTGCATACATTTAAATATTTGATTATCGTTGATTGATTCGAAATATGATTATTACTGTTTGTTTTGGATTGTGTTGTGACTTGTGTTTAATTGCACTTTAGAGACACACTAAGGGTCTGTTTGTTTCCCTGTAATTGGTTCTGAGGAAAATGTTTTCCTCATTTTCCATGGTCAATGTAATTCATTTTCCTGATCAACTGAATTTCCTTTGCATTTTCTGAAAAATGACTTACCATTTAATTTTTCATAAATCATTTTACGAACTTTTCAATACAAAGCAGAAACACTCAAAATATTATTATTTTATATATTTAATTTAATATATTATTTTAATATCATTTTAATAAAAGTATTAATTATTAAATTATATTTATTAATATTTTTAATAATATAATATAATATTTTATTGTTATAATTATATAATTATAATATATAATATTATAAATTTCTTTTAATAATATATAATAAATTATTAATAAAATTAATATTATCTATTAATTTTATAAAAATAATACTATTGAATTGTTGAATATTTAATATATATATTCCTTGAAATATAATATAATATAATATTTTTATTTTAATATTATAATTTTTGATATTTTAATAATATTTTATTTAATAAATAATTAATATAATTTATAATATATTATTCTTTTTTAATAAATAATCAATATAATTTATAATAATTTTATTTTAAGAAAAAATAAATTAATTATAATATTTTTATTTATAAAATTATAGATATAATATTTTAATAATAATATTGAATGAATTATATTAATATTTTAAAAATATTATTATTTTGTGTTAATAAATAGTATTACTTATTATATTTGATGTTTATAGTTAAGAATTTTAAAAATAATTTATCAACAATTGAAAAATGAAATATACAACATCATCCTAATACCATAAAATGATTTCCATAAATTATTTTCCATGAAATGTAATTTATTTTCCGAAATCTGACAAATGGACCAAAGCTTAATCATTTAACCCCCTTAGTTTCTTCTTTCAAATTACCAAGCTAGGTGAATCCATACTTGGAGATCAACGTTATTTTGTTTTCATAAATTTTAAAGTATGACATTTATTCGGATTTATTTTTTTCATAATTTAGTAATATTTTATTTGAATAATAGTTGTTTCGTTAAAATATTTTTGGGGACATTATACATAAATTTTATTTGGAATTTGGGATTTGAAACATGAATTTGATTGACATTCTCTATGTTTTAATTATTGTTAAATTACTTCGGTTATTTATAGTATTTGAAATCAATAAAAACGAGTGTTATTTAAAAGTATTTTAAATCACGTTTAGATAAATTTTGGAGATTTAGTTAATGACTCTCTAGATTCGATTTAATTTCTTCTAGGTCGAGTTTAGGGGTTACAAAAGTAATTGGTATAATTATACATTTGATCTTCAATATTTATTCATTCTATCACTTTGATCATAAATTTAATAAATTAAATAAATTTAAATTATATAAAAAACATTTAATCTAATGGTGACACATGTTATCGTCTAATTGGTGAATTAAATTAAATTTAACCATATGAATATACGGAGTCAAGGGTAGTTTTAATTTTCTTAATACACGTAGTTTCAATTAACCAAATTACTCCAATGATTAAAAAAATTATTATTACTTTTAAAGATTGCGAGTTCAATATTGTAATCAAAGATGATTGAACTTTTAAAGATTGCGAGTTCAATATTGTAATCAAAGATGATTGAACGTTCATTATCATATAATTAAAAGATATAATCCTCTATAATCCCTTAACTTATTAAAAATGTGGTTTTACGCTAGCCATGCGGCTTCATGGTTATCCTTGTTACTCAAAACCAAACCTTACCTGCCAAGGCGTTTTTCTGCATCAACTCCGTAGGCTCATCTACCATAATCTTGCACTGGACTTGAGCAGCTGAACTTGTTTTATAATATTAAATTACGATTTCGATATTACAGTTGCAAAACATGATTTTTTTTAAAAAAACAACTTATTTAAAAAAACAATTATATTTTTAATGTTACATATACAACTTAGGGTATCAAAATAATCTTTAAGAACTTTTGTATTTATAATATTAAATTAAGATTACAATGTTATATTATAGTATTAAATTACGATTGCAATATTATAGGTGCGGAGCAAATATATTTTGTTTTACGATTAAAATATTTGTTTTAATGTTACAAAATTTATTTATACTATGACTTGTTTATAATTGAAACTTATAATATCTAAACTCATATTTAGAAGTGTGATGTTCACAGTTAAATTTCCTAAGTTGATTAGTAGGATTGATATTGTAACTGTTTAGAGAAGATAGATTCCAACACATTTAAACTCATATTTGGAATCATAAAACAAAATATAACTCAGTCAGCTTCTCTCTATGATCTTCCTGCTTGCTCTCATGTCTTGGGTACCTCCACGATGGTCTTCAGGTTCCAAATATCATCATCCCATACAACATCGCCGAACAACTCACCGTCAACATAATCAACATCCCAGAACGGCGACCAGAAACACCCCCACGGCATCAGCTCATCCACCGCACCCCCACCACCATCACCACCGCATAACCACCCCCATTCCTCCCATCCACCACACCAATTCTCCACCGCCACCTCTCCTCCATTACCATCATCACAACTCTTCCCATCATTTTCCTTCGCTTCTTCCACAGCTCTCTCGACCTTCTTAATCCCTTCATCTTTCTCCTTCACCAAGGCGGCGGCGGCACCCTCTATAGTACTACTTCGTTGCCTCTTCATATGGTTCGTTGTTGATATTTGGTTTTCTCTGAAATGAATAATCAGAAAGATATATATTTATAGGTGAAAAGGATGATCGAGAAGAGTAGCGAGTGTTTTGGGAATAGGAGTAGAGCGGAGCGGCAGCTTTTGTGGGTGACTTGGTCTCGTAAAAATATCATCATCACATGCAACTCACTTTGTCTTTTGGCGTTGAAGGTGGAACGCGTATACCGACAAAATCTACCGTCGCCGACGTAAAATTTGATTTGGTTCTGAAAAGATTGATTTATTCTTAAATTTAATTTAATTTTATGTAACTTTACTTTTCATTATTACTTATAAATTTATTTTTTTCTATAGTTTAGTCTTACTTTATATCATTTGATCTTTTTATAAAAAAATTCTTCCAATCAGATTAATAATTTGTTTTAAAAAAATCTCTTATTTATAGATAATATGATAAATAAATTTTATAACTTTAGATATTTTTTAATTTATTAAATGTATGTAATTATTACCCCTACGAACCCTAACTTTGAGACATGCATGTGTAAGAGCTTATCTATACGTAAGAGCTGCTTAGACTACCAATGCTGATTTATGCAGTCATTTATGATTTTGTCAGCTTTTAATTTGGATAATGTTGGTCGTAGAACTGTTCCCCTTCATTTCTGGGAATTAGAGTTGAGTTAAGAAATCAATAAAATTAAAAAAAATCCATCTATTTTTATTTTATTTTGCAGTTCGATTTAAATATTTATATTTATAAATTGATTTAGTTTCAATTTTTTGTTTATACTAATTTAAAAAGAAAAATAAATGATAATCTAAACATTTAAAATTATTATAAGATAAGTTTAAATAAATATAGTCTTAAAATTTATAATATTATTTTTTTGTGAGTATAAATTTGTATGTATGTACTCGATTTAAGCTTGAAGTTATTCGTAGATGTTGAATTTGAAAAATAATAAATAGTTAAAAATAACAAAACCAATATAAACTAAACTAAATTAAAATTTATACTTTTTGTATTGTTTTCAAATTCATTTTTTTAAAAAAATAACATATTACGATTTGATTTGATTTTTATAAAAAATTCAATCGAATTTAACTGAATATACTGTTGCAGGAACAGTGGGTTGGAATTTCTTTACAGCATAATTGCTACGAGCCTACGATGTTTAGAAGGATATACATAATGTAGATATTGTATGGAAAAAAAATAGATGTGTTGTTACAGGGAAAAGGCTGAAGTGGAGATAAAATTTCATCCGGGGAAGGAAAAACGTCGATACATTCGAGAACAAACACAAAATTTTATATTAAATATAAAATTTTAAAATTTTAGAAAAGAATGAATTTCTAAAATATATGATATTTTAAGTTTTTAAGAAACGATTATCGTCACCCATTCTTTCGATCCATTCCTCAGTGTGTTTGAGAAATTAAACTAACATCATCTTGGATGTTTTTCTCAAGCAGCTCATAAGATATGTACCCTCCACGTTAGGAAGATGCAATCAATACTGATTGTTATAATTTAACGCATTGATTCGTATTTGGTATAAAACTGTGGATCCGGATAATTCGATCTAATTTAAGGTGTCACATTAACATTACTGTAGTGACCCGCGATAAAATCCGTAAAATATAAAATTTATCAAACCGTTCAAAAGACCATGAAACAATTTGAAAATCAAAATAAAATATAAATTCAGAAAGCATTCATAATTAAAACATAATTCACAAGTCAAATTATAAAACGAGTTTCAAACTCTAATATAGAAATAATATTTGTCCTACATACCTAATTACACAAATGTAATACTCCGCAAGCAACGTTAAAAGTGTTAGAAATCAAACTTGATTTCTAAATATTGAAAATTTATTAAGGTGATCCCACACAAATATTATAAAATTACAGCAATGATGAAGTTATAATCTGCTTAATTATTAAACAAAGTTCAAGGCGGCAGAATATTCTATGGATGAGTTGGCAAGCTTGACAATTAAGGAAGAGTTTTGGCAAGACAAGCAAAGTTTGCTTTGATATAAACATGTCCATGTGAAGGATTGAAAAGGCAGCAACTATAATACTTAATTATTAAGGAATTATAAGGCTGTAGAATGAAAGCAATCTTGAAGCTTTATGAGGCGGTTAAATTGCCTATAAAAAGGCTTTGATAGTTTTAGTTAATGTATGAGAAGGAATATGAGAAAAGGCTTAGAAAAGCCAGTATGAGAAATAGCTTAGAAAAGCTATTAGAGAATAAAAAAGCCTAGCAAAGCAAGGACGAGAAATAGCATTGAAAAGCTATGAGAGAAAAGGTGAAGCTTAGCAAAGCTTAGAATAACAATGTTGTGTTTGTAAACTAGTTGCAAATAGTATTGTAGTGTTATAATATTATAATATTGAGGTAGTGTCGTTGTAACGTATTTTGTTTTGTATGAATAGTAATTTTGAGTTGTAAAATTATTGAGTGCCCACCTACGCTTCCAACAAAAGGAATTCTCATTATTAATGTCGATAATTGCACAAAGTCATTTTCTTTAACCTAAAATGATAAGTAATAGAATGAGCTTTGGGAAAGTCAGCAACACAGAACTATTAAATGATGCTAAATGCCAAGCAGATATATGGTAAAACATAAATTTTTTTTAGTGATCCAGACATACACAAATTCCAGTGAGGTGTTGGAATTTCATTTATTAATTCTTCAAGTAATAATCGGGAATCTACAATCCAAAGGAAACATTTAAAGAGAAAGATTCAAGATATTAAATTTGAAAATCTAGTGTGACCCATCAGCGCAAAGAAGTGTAAAAATAAATTAAAACAACAACAATTTATTTCAATAAAATAAATTTTAAAAGTCACATATATACATTTTCTCATAACATCCATAAGTCTAGTTCATATATTCTACGTAGAAGGAGAAAACAACGTGAAAAGTTCTAACAAACATCTTCTATTGTAGGTGTATATCAACTACAAAATAACACCTGCAGAGTAAATGAGAAACAATCCGGCAACATCAGCATCCGACGATGCTTGAGATCAATGATGGGAAGCGATTTAAACTTTGGTAGAAAAAAAATGATGAATTCTCTGAAAACTCTTACAAAATCTTCAGATCAATACCGATGGCTGGGATAATCAGGCCTAGTAATTCTATTACTTTAGTTTATCATAGTAATATCTTACCACAAATAGTAAAAATGGTGCTTGCATGAGGTTATCGGTTCGAACATCCGCATCCTTTTTAAAAACTCTTTGTTTTGCTTATTTATGCCTTTCAATTAAAAAAAAGGATAAATTACATCCAAAACTACTGATTTTTACAAAATTCACCTTTTAGACTTCAATCTCTTCCCTACATTCAACTTGGTCCTTAATTTTCCACTATTTTTTTAAATTTTAATACTAACTTTAACATTTAATAATTTAATCCTTTAACAAAATTTAAGGTGTTACAATTTGACTTAGAAATATCGAGTTTACGTTGTTTTCAAGTTGTAATCATTATATTAAAAAAAAGAAAACAAATTTCATTTTGAACGTTCAATGCTAAAGAATCAGAAGAAGAGAGAGAGAGAGAGAGAGAGAGAGAAACAAACGGGGTAGAGCACCAACACAATGATATGCTACGCGAGAGAGAGAGAGCAGCATGTGCCATGATGGTCGTTTGGTGAAAAGAAGAAAAGAGCAGATCACATGAGTGGACTGTTGAGAGGCGTTTGAGTGAAGGACCTGGAATTAATAATAAGATCTTTAACATTTTCCTACTCGCTCGATTTCCGAGATTACTTCCTCTTTATTCACAGTTGACAACAGCATCATAAAACTTGTTTAAATCAAGTTAAATTGATATTCTGTGCTTTTGATGGAATCCCATAAAGGCTTGTTTGATCAACATTCAGTCGGCGTTTCAGTATCAGGGACTTCCCCCAGGCACTGGCGTGATTCTTAAGCAAACAAGCCTTATGGGATTCCATCAAAAGCACAGAATATCCATTTAACTTAGATTTAAACAATCAAAAGATGTGAACAATTTTTTGGTCTTTATATACACCATCAAGTATTTAGTTTGACTCAATTAACAACTCGATTTTTTTTTTGTACAAATTTCCTTTTCGACTCGAGACTCTTAGCAAAAAGAAACCAAAACAGAAGAAAAAAAATGGACCCCAACCCAGCAACCTCCCAAGCTAAGCTACTCCCTTATTCGTTTAAGGAACTCAGATACTTACAATACGACATCGTTTTGCTTGCACACAATGAACCCTTTCCCTCTAACCATATATTTACACTAAAAGAAAGGGCTCTTTGGCTTTTCTCTCTCCTCTTTTTGGTCTCACTTAAAAGACTTCAAAATTCTCTCTTCTTCAAGTCTATGTACTCTAGGCCAGCGCCGGGATGCTGCAACTCCGGCGATCTTTGTCGAGGCAATCGAACCCCTCTACTCTCACTGCTGGATTGTTAACAAAATTTGCTCGGATGCAGCCTCCTTTCCTTGAAGAGGATGCCGGAGACGATGACGGCAAGCCGGACATAGGCAGGTTCGTAGACGGTTGTGACAGAGGGGTGAGGACGTTGTCGTCCACAAATCGAGCATCTTGAATTAACGGGTTAGCTACTCTACTCGGCGGCGACCCACAAAAAAATGGGGGCGACGACACTACTTGTTCCGCTCTACAACCACCCTGCTAAATTCCAAAACCAATAATCAGATGACCGGTTCTCCTCGTAGATGAAATTTGGAAAACCAATACAATATTCTTCTAGAAATTCTTTAGTTGGCACGTTAAACTAACGGTTGTATTTTAAATGGTCCCCCACAAACAAAAGACTTGCATCGAGACGTCGCCATTGTTCCAAAGCTAAAGATTAATTTAATTATTTTATAATTAATGATTATTTTAGTGTTTCCTCAAAACAAAGTCCATTAAATCAACTTTGCTTAGTCCGTTAATTTAATCAAGAGAAAGAAGCGTACCTTTGTAAGAATCATATCCAAAATATCACTCCCTGCTTTTGAATCACCAAGCTCGGTTTGATGGCTGAAAATCATCAAACAAATCTGTTACTATTTCCCTACTCCTAGCTTATTTAATAAAAAAAGAGGTTAAAAATTAGAGGAGGCCATGTAAATAAGAGGAAATTACCTAATTTGCCATCTGAGGGATCTAACAGGGTGGTCGTTGAAAGAGGTGTTTAGGAGACCCAAACGACGTGGTTTCGGGCAAACAACGGCCTCTCTCCGATCCGTAACCATAACCGAAACCGAAAAAGAGCTCTGCAAATCCTCACGGTTACTTCCAGTAGCGGTTCGCTGGATCGCAAACTGCTGCATCATTTGTTCCTTTGACGTTTTTTTTAACTATTGAAATTCGATATCCCTATTTAATATAAAAATAAGGTCAATCAAACATCATCTTCTACAGAAACCGAAAAATTAACCGTAGAATTGTTGCAGTTCAATTTCTAGGATCAAATTTCCACAATTACTGAAAATCAGTTAAAGATCGCTAGATCTACACAAGCCAAACAATAAATGAATAAATAAATCTAACTGCAAAATTGAGCCGTAAAAAAATTTAAATATCTAACGAAGCTTAGAGAAGTAATTCATAAAGAAAAAATATCAGCTTAAAATTATAAAATTAGGTTTTCGTGAGGAAATGATTCAAATCAAGGAAGAAACAGAGGAAATCCTTGAAAAGGCGCTGTTTGGAAGCTGAAAACATGGAAGAAAACAGCACTACCTTTGATTTTAACTGTACAGTGCGTTGATGAACTGTTGGAGTAGGTACTAAACATGAACAGAGAACGATATAAAAAATTGAAAAAAAATCTAAAAAAAGTACGGAGAAACAAGAGAGAGGAAACAATGGAGCAAAGAAGAAAGGCGAGAGAACAAACAAGGGCAATGATGGAAAGGTCGCGTGTTATTTATAGAAGGAAAGAGAGAAGGGGGAAGGAGACAAGAGAATCACGAAAATTGCTAGTGAACATAAATGTTTAAACGGTTAATTTGGTCCTCGACTAAATCGAATTAACTATCATAGAATTAATTAATTTTTTCTTTAACCGTTAATCGAATCGAAATTTATTTAAAAATTATTAATTAAATTGAATAAATTTCGGTTAATTTTTTAATTAATCAAAAAAATTAATTTTTTTAAATTTATATAACAATTGAATATTTTTTAAATTCAAAAAAATAATTTACAATTAATTTAAATAATATCTAGATTTTTTTAATTAATTAATATTGATTTAGGTTTAAAATTATTAAATCTTAAATTATTAATTGAGTTTTAAATAGTTTAAACTGAGTCTATATGTTATATATAATATATTTAAAATGTAATTTTGTTTAATTAATCAATTTCGAACCGAATTAATCGTTAACTGAATTCTAAAAAAATTATTAACTGTTTTTCGATCGAACTAATTCGATGACCGAACTAATTCGATTTGATCAATTAATTCGATTAAAACCAAAAAATATACACCCTTACTACTGAAATGAAATAAATTAATAAAAATAGCAGAAATCACAGGGTAACGTGGCAACATCACAGCTAAGAATAGAAAAATAAAATATTACAATAAAAAGGAAAAGAAGAGCCCGAGTATATTGCACTTTGAATAGGGAAGGCTTCCATTTCAATTTTAATTCTTATTTTGATTTTTTATGATTTAAAAAAAATTAAATTGATTCTCATATGTTAAAATTTGTATTTAATTTTTTTATTAATAATTATTATTTAATATATTGATGATTAAATTAAAATTAACACTGGTAGAAAATTATATCATATATTAAAAATTATTTTTCCATTAATATTGTTTAGTTATGAGAAGATTTAGAAGATATATCAATCAAATTTATATCATTTTAATTTTTATTGATATTGAATATTCAATTTAATTTATGAATAACTTGTGCATCTTTTAAACTTTAGCGTGCATATTGTAAAAATAATTATTATTTACATAAATAATTTTGAAAGAATTATATTTTTATATATAATGTTAAAAGTAGTGTATTTAGTTAATAAAATTTAAGAATATAGTTGGTGAATTTTTTAACAAAAAAACACAAGTACTAAAAATATAATTTTTTATTTAGTTTACTTGTTACAGTTTTTATGAAATTTATTATATCGATACGATAAATTTTATAAAATATATTAAAAAATTTAAAATTCATCGTTCGGATTAGATGAAAATTATATATAACTCATCAAATTAACGCGATAAATTTTAATTATTTATTATATTTTATGAAACTCGTCATTTTTATACGACGAGTTTCAGATAATATAAAATAAATAACTTAAATCTCAAATTATAGTTTGACATTAAAGCTCAGTTCCCAACATTGAAATTTTATGAAGTAAATTATTTATATAAATGTCGACCAGTTTAATAGTTATATTGTACGACAGTCTAATATAAGACTAATGAAAGACGCTACCGAAAATATAAATATATTTTTAATATTTTCGGTAGAGCGCATTTTAAAATGTTATTCTTTCTGTCGAAAATATTAATTTCACTATCTAAAATGAATTATAATCAACCCTAACTTGAATTTTTGTTCCCCATACATATACCTAATCCAAATTAAAGGGGATCATTGGTCGGATAAGCTCGAGTCAAGTTTTTGACCCATTTAAAATTATATTTACGTCAAATTTAAAGAATTTATGTCTGATTTGAAATTCCATCAATTTTCAGGATAAAAATTTATAATCAATTTGATTTGACATATATATTTATATATAAAAATTATTTTCAATAAATAAAATAAAACTTTAATTAAAAAATATAAAAAGAAATATTATTACAACTATCATAGAATATACAAAAGATAATTGTATTATTTTTTCATCCTAAATTCGAATTCTTCATTTTTTAAAAAGTCGACCAATCCAATAAAAAAACATTCAGCATCATTAGATTGAATCAAAATCTATTAAATCCATATCAAATGATCATCCCTATGCCAAATTATTACATCAGTGAAATAACATGTCATCTTGTTCTATCACAACCATCCATTTATTTTTAAAACCGATCAATATAAAATATTTAAAACGAATAAAATAACACATTATCTTTAATAATCTTGAATAATTAAAAGATAATATATGTATTTTAAAAAAAAATTAATCATTAATAATATATATACGTTTTACAGATGATACTAGACTACTCCTTGAGTTTGGACAAAGGGGTATCTACCTAGGGCAGGAGGGGCAACTGCTTAAAGTATCTCGTACTATTAAAAATTAATAATGATATTGACGTTATATTTTTAAATTATTTTTTTACTTCTCAATTAATTATTCTTTTAATTTTTTATTTTAACATAAAGAAGGTTGAAATCTACTATGTGCCCTCTTAAGAGAGGATAATGTTTATTTTGTGTGAATAGTTGGATAACTTTTTTAATATTTTATATTTAAAATTTGATGTATTTATTATATAATTTATTAAATATAATAATAAATAATTTACAATATTTTTTATTTTTATTATGATTTATTTTTTTTATACTTATTATTAGGGGTCTAATTTATATATTTATCCCAAGCCACTAAAATCTTATAAACGCGTCTGTATCTAATTACTCAAATCCAAAATCTCTAGAAATAATAATACTCCATGTAACATCTACCATCACTTGTTGGATTCGAATAGAGTGTACTTTATTAATTAGGAACATAAATATATATGTATTTTTCAGTTTACGTAAGACCTTAAAGAGACACATCCTTTTGCTTGACCTAACGCAACCTTAAGCCCTAAATTGAATTTATTTAGGGAAAGTTTGGAACCACCAAATCCAGAACCCAACAAGCAAAGCAGTGGTGGTGTCGTTCTCAACAATTTTGCATTCCCAGTTGAGTAGCCAATCCGCCCAAGCAAACCACCATCTCACTATCACCATTAATCAATTCCACCCAACTCTACTTCTCAGAGGCCCTTGCATGAACTCCCATGGATAATCAAAATTAGGAATCAACGAAATTTGACTCGATTTAAAAAAAAGAGTTTTTTAATTCGATTCAACGTTAAAGAAAACTCAATTTAATTTAACTTATTCTTGTAATTCCATAAACTTGTTTTGAAACAAATTCAAATAAATTTTGAGTTATAAATTATGATTTGCATAACTCAATTTTTTTTTAATAATTAGTGGATTGATGTTTTAAGTTTGAGTCGAGACTCGACTCTGCACGCAGGGACAAAGTCTTATTCTAACTCAAGGAGCTAAAGTATAATTAATCATAAAAAATGAGGGGACAAAACCAAAACAAACTAAAATTGGGAGCACTAAATTAGGATTTATCCATATATTTTATTAACTCAAGAAATATACATATATATAGCATATGATTATAAAAAGGTCATTTAAGTTAAAATCAATTAGTATCATAATATTATAACTATTTAAAATTAAATTAAAACAATTTAACTTGAAAAAATTAAATAAAATACGATTCATCAATTTAAATAACTTAAAATTTAATGGCTCGATTCCATCGAATAATCTCAAAAACTCAAACTTTTGAAATGATGGAAGGTGACCAATCAATTAGTTGATTAGCAAAATATTAGATATTGAGAATGTAATTTTGGATTTAAATGTGTGATTGCACGTATCCATGAAAAGCTGGATTTGATTTAGAAAAAGAAAATAGAATCCATCAAATGAATGATGCATGCCCCACTATCACCATTATTTATGTGGTAATTTTTATATTAAAAACCTAAAATAAATAATTATTTAAAGAAATAGGACTCTCTAAAATTATTTAAAAGAATAACCCCTAAATCGTTTATATAGAATAACCTCGTGGCTTGCAAACAACATGTTAAATTCTCGCATCTTTCAACACGCAAGATACGTTCAACGTGGGCATACTTTCTAAGTAAACCAATAAAAGAATTAGATAAAATGACCCCACACATTGCAAAGCGCGAGGTAACTTGAGAATCAAAATATCGCGAGATTTATGAGAGACCTCGCGGCCTACAACGCGCGAGGATCTTTCAAATTGAAATTAATAACAAATAATATAATAAATATAATAATAATTAATAATATTAATTATTAAATATATTAAATAATTAAAATATCATAATAAATAAATAGTAATTAAAATATATATTTTATAAATAATAATTATAATCTATTTTGTAAATTTTGAAATAATCAAAACTATACACATAATATAGTAAATATAATAAATAATATTATAATTATAATATATTTTAAATTTTATATGATAAAAACTAGTATTAAATTTTGAAAATAATAATCTTGCGCCTTGCAAACCGCAAGGTACTGGAAATAGAAAAAATTTCACATATTTCCAACGTAAATCACATCTTGCAGGACACGAGATATTTAAAATCATGTTTCTCTAGGTGCAAGAAGGCCTATAAATATGGCCTCCATTATTAATTATCATCTAACTCATCGATTTCTTATCATCTAAAGTATCATATATTTTTTTAATATATTCAAAGATTTTATATTATGGTAACGAGTTTATTAAAACATGATTGAAGTCACATATTCGATTATTAGAAGTGAAATGACGAGGTAAATTAATTAATATTATTTTTTATTTTTAGTATTTATTTATTTGTTTGTATAGTTTATTTGTTTTGATATTCAAATAATTTTTTAATATTTATTTTGTAAGAATATGAACGTGTATTAGAGTATCATATAAATCGTGTGATAATGCCCGATGCGGATATTATTGACTATTACATAAGCGGGTTTCAGATATATCAGTAGTATAACTATTGACAGTGTGAAGTTGCATTCTCCACTTATAAATGCGTTGATGGAAAGATGGAGGCCGGATACGCACACATT